TCTATCTACTCAATCTGATTTCAGTGGATTCCAGGATCAGGACGATGAGCCTGGTTCTAATCATAGTATCCAGTCTCTTGAGCAGGAAGAACCTGTTGAGACTGACTTCATCCTATCCACATCTTGGCAACCACTTCCACCTGGGGCAAAAGTGTTGGTTACTGCGAATGGAAACAGGCTGCTGTCGACTGACACGCAGCTGCTGGATAATATTGAGTGTAAGGTTGATTCTAACAGGCCATGGATAACATTGGTAAGAGCTAAGTCTTCTTTGTTCACTAATCCATCTGAATCTGTGGATTCCTTATTCAAGATATTTTATGAAACTGTCTCTAAGCTTCCTGATATCTCAGCAACTACAAAGAGAGAGGAAGGACATGCAACTTTGGGTCATCATTCTTTGTTTTTGGAGGGTGATACTACACTTTCTTGGCCTGATATTTGCCCAAAGATGATCTCTGAAATAGACGAAGTCTGGGCTAATTTATTGAAAGATTTGACATTCATTCCCGCTGACAGGAATGCTCATAAGTTTAGTTTTTTTAAGTTCCAATTTAATAACAAAAAGAGTTCCTTATATGATCTTTCCCAATATTTGTTGGCTTCAAAATATGTTGATATGTTATCAAAAAAATTTGAAACCAGTTGCCCCTGCACTGCTGCTTGAAGAATTTAAAATTAGGAAAATGGCAGCAGATGTTTGGTCTGCAATTATGATGTGTCAGTTGTTAACTAAGTTTGTGCTGGACTATGAAGAAAATTCAGAAGTGGACAAATGTTTTGCTGCTGCTCTACAAGAAATCCCATATTCCCTGTACAACTCACTTTTAGATCATTTGTTGAAAGCCCTAAGACTGAAAGTCCAGCTAAGGAAACAAGCCACAAATAATGCTTCAAGCGGTAGCGCTTATTTGTTGATACGTTCTTCTCCTCTTTCTCCTGCTTTGTTTGGTGAGCAATCATTGATTAATTATAGATCATCTTTGGAGAATACTATTAATATTAATGTCCCCAGGAGTCCTCAGACCTTTTGGAAACCTAGGAGAGGAAGGTTTTACAGGGGAACAGGACCAGCTGCCTGGGTCAGTTATCAACCAAGGGGAAATTTTAGAGGAGGAAATAATCAAAGACATAATAGAGGTGGCCGTTTATTCAGAAACGGAAGGAGACCTTATTCCACCACCTCAGCAACTTCCCCCTTCCAATGAAGCCAGACAGCTGGGTCGTCTAGGTGGTTGGGAGAACAGATGGACTTCTTCCATATGGGCTTGCAAGACAATCAAAGGGGTCTCACATGGACTTGGTTGAGGCACCCTCCCCTAGCATCCCCAAAGAAGGGTCAAAAACCAACCCCATTACTTACAAAATTTGTAAGTCAACTACTTAACAGAGGTGTCATAGAACCGTTGCAGTCAGAGAAATGTTTCATGTCTCGCCTATTCCCAGTCCACAAGAAAGGCAGCGACAAATTAAGATGGATTTTGGATCTTTCAATCCTAAACAAATTTATTCCCAAAAGAAGTTTCAAGATGCTCACTTACGACCATCTGAGGCATCTACTTCCGCCCAATGCTTGGATTTCAAAAGTGGATCTCGAAGATGCCTATTATCACGTTCCTGTTGCTTCCAGGTACAGAAAATTTCTGGTGTTCAAAGTAGGGGAATTAAGTTATCAATTCACAGTGATGCCATTCGGTCTGACAATTGCACCAAAAGTCTTTACAAAACTGGCAAATATTCCCAGAAAGATCCTTGCAAAGGAGGGCACAAGAACCTTTGCTTATCTAGACGATTGGCTGATAATGGGAAACTCTTTCGAAGATTGTCAAAGGGCGACCCAACGTACACTAGTACTATTTCAAAACCTTGGTTTAAAGATAAACCAGGTCAAATCAAAATTAGTACCATATCAAAAGTTGGATTGGTTAGGTCTCCACTGGGATACAAATCAGCAGTCAGTCAGTTTACCAGGAACAAAAATAACAGATTTGATAAACAAAGTAGAAGCCTTTTGTGTAAAGCACAAGGTTTCTTGGCACGATTGGGAAAACTTCTGGGTCTGTTGAATTTTGCCACAATAGTGGTTCCATTGGGAAAGTTAAGGAAAAAGCAACTATCTCATCTGGGCTCGAAGTTGCTTCGCAGAAACAGAAACGTTGCTTCTTCTCTCCCTATTCAGATAAAGAATCATCTGTTATGGTGGACAAACTGGGACAATCTAATCGGTCCCTCTCCCTGGGTTCCACCTCAAACATGTCTGGTCGTTTGTACGGATGCATCCAAAATAGGATGGGGATACCATTCTTCAAAAGGGGAATTCAATCAAGGAAAGTGGAGCAACTTCCTTTGGGACAAACACATAAATATAAAAGAATTAGCAGTGGTTCTATTCTTTTTGTCGGCAAACCCAAATTTACAAAATATGACGATCCTGTTTGCCATGGACAACAAAACGGCAGTGTTTTGTCTCAATCATCAAGGGTCAACAAGGTCTTGGCCCCTTCTACAACTATCAGAAAATTTGTTCAGTATTTGTGCAACACAAACACTTTTCCTCAAAGCAACTTATATACTGGGAGTGCAAAACAATTGGGCAGATGCGCTGTCCCGTCTCCGGCCAGTATCGACAGAAACAGAATGGTCCCTAAAGGTATCAGAGTTCAAGAGTCTAGTAAAGAAGTTTGGAACTCCACAGATAGATCTGTTTGCCTCCCTAACAAATCACAAGATGCAATTTTATGCATCTCTGGAGAGGTCGAATCTTTTAGGAAATGCTCTACTCTTAGATTGGAACCTTTGGAGTTCAATCTATCTGTTCCCACCTGTGAAAATATTGCCCAAAGTGGTTCACAAACTCAGATCCTTCCAATACACAAGGTCCTCTTAATTGCACCACATTGGATCCTACAACCTTGGTGCCTGGATCTGCTGGACTGGTGCCCGAATCTGCTACAATTGCAACAAGGATGTCTAGACCAGTTACTACATTCTCAGTTCGAGATATCCTTGGCACTTCACGCTTGGAGTTTCTCAAAAGGAGTTTAAATAGGTTGTTGGGTAATCCCAATATAGCTAACCATATATTAGCAGGTCATAGACCCCAAACTTATATTCAATATGAGAAAGCTTGGAATCTTTTTCAACAATTTATCAAGTTAACAACTCCAGAATCATTGTCGGAAACAGTTGTGTTAGAATTTTTAGAATTTCTGTTCAGAGTTAAAGGCCTTCAAGGATCGACAATTGCATCTTATAAATCAGCATTGGTTGACCCTCTGGCTTGGGGTTTTAATATTACTTTGAACCCAAGGATATATTAAATGCTAAGATCGTCCTTTTTCATTCAGAGACCCCTCGGCCTAAGAGAATCCCACCTTGGTCTCTGGAAAAAGTTACTAAATTTCTTATGGGGCCTAATTACAATAAAAATCTGAACAGGGATAAATTACTACAGAAGGCAGCCTTCCTTCTAGCAATAGCAACAGGTATGAGAATAAGTGAACTGATTTCAATTTCCAATAATCCATCATTATTGGTATTTTCTAAGTAGGATGTTACCCTTTTTCCTACGGAGATCCTAAGAAAAAATGAAAGGGAAGATTTCCAAGCTCAACCTATTGGGATTAAAATGCCTAATGGATGAGACAAGGGTTCCTCATATATTGTGCCCAGTTAAAAATCTTCAGGAATGGTTATCCAGATTCCCTAATCGAGGCCCCTATGTTTTCTCATCCAGGGATGGTAAGAAATTGTCTTCTAGTTAAATGATAATATCTTTATCTCAATTAGTGAATCAAGCAGACCCTGGCAAGAAATTTTTGGCACATGACACTAGGAAATGCGCAGGGTCTGTGTCCTTTCTGCGGCATACAGTATGAGCTTCAGTCAGATCAAGGAAATGGGCTTTTGGAGATCTTCAAAAACTTTCAAAGACAACTTCTTCATCACCATAATAAAGTGAGTATCCTAATTGAGATCTGTAAATTAACATTTTACCTTCCGGTAATTGTTCCTAATTTTGGAAATATTCTACACGGTTTATAATCATAATCTGGACCTAAGTTAGCGGAGCCTTGTATGCAAAGTCACCTCCCTCTCCACCTCCTGCTCGGGTATTCAAAGCTAAGCGTCGCATTCTGAGGTTGAACAAAAAGCCATTTTTTTTTCTAAAAACCAGTTTTTGTGATATAACCCAGAATGCTACGCCGATAACCCACCCATCTCCACCTCTCGAGAGTTGACTTTTGTTTACTGCTTGCTCTAAGGCAAGAGATGATGGTGGCAGTGCGTGCGATGGGATGTAAGGGGGGGGGGTTTCGACAGTTGCAATTAAATGCCAGGCAGCGACGTGTCCTCCTAATATTGCTTATTAAGTAATTATTAGATGTTTTAATTGCTTGTATGTTGTCCTGGCGAGTTATTGCTAGGCATTAACATACCTAGGTTAAAGGCTAAGAGTCGCATTCTGGGTTATATCACAAAATCTGGTTTTTAGAAAAAAATGGCTCATTTACTTTATTATTACAGTACTGTACTGTATATACAGTACATTGAAAAAAAAATTATGCTTGCACAGTGATTATAAATAGATTATCTTATAAAGCAGCCAAGACAAGGCACAAAAACTGAACAGAAAATGAATGAATATTTGATAATATAAATTCAGAAATTGCTGAATGAAGTCAAAATATTTCAAACTCGGTTAGTTTCGATTTTTCAAACATTCAAATGACCCAGTGACTTTTTTATCCAATAAATGAGGGTATAGTGTACTCTTTGTTTACCGGTATTTCTATACTGAGTCTTGTTTGGATTCTTTTTCATTGTTAAAGCTTCTTGGCAGTTGGAGTGGTTAGCATGTTGGCACTCCATTTTATGGTTAACTGTTCTATTACAAGGTATACAGTTGATGTTGGGTGGGTGGGAGGGAGGGATTGACCATTGGATAGGAAGACAGGCAGAAAGATACTCTGTCATCTTCAGATTTTTCTCTCTTACAGCTTCACTTCATCCGATCCTATCTGGAAGCTTATGGGGCATCACGAAGAGGAAAGCTCGCGCCATCCACTGGTGGATATTCAGGGGAAGCATTACGCACGTAAGTAATGATGACAGAACATAAACCATGTAGGATTTGTTCAGTTTATTTGTTATGTAGATAATAATGAAGAATTTTGTGACTGTTTTCATGGCTGACCTTAAAGACACACAGGTTTCATGCTTCAGGGGCCCTTCATGGTCACTAAATGTGTATGTAAGGCCAGAGGATAAAAGTACTGTATAAGAGCATTCTGTCCAAATTGTTGATATTTTTGGTACTTAATCTCAGTCAGATCCATGGAGGTCAGATTGGTAAGAAGGCAAATTTTAATCACCTTATTGTGGAGAGTTAAACTTTGAGATGTTGATTTATTTTGAAAATTATATTTACAATCTGGTTGTCTAATTAATTGTACAAAGTACAGTACAAGGTGTATTTATCATAAATGAGTATTATTTTGAAATACAGCCAGTCCCCGACTTACGGCGGGGTTAGGGACCGACGACCAGGTCGTAAGTCGAATTGGTCGTAAGTCGAAAATGCAAAAATAATACAGTGGTCCCTCGATTTACAAACACAATTGGTTACAACTCACAGGAAAAGTACATACAAAGTAAAGCCAAAAAATGCATACAGTCAGAAACACTCCTACAAATTTCCCGAAATCGCCCTTAAATCACTATATATATATCATATATATACACTAGAACTCTTAAGTCACTACTGTAATGTGATACAGGTGATTAAATTTTATCTCTTGTGCAAAATATATGACGTTTATATTCAAATTATTCACTGTCTTGCAAGGATCCCAGCAATGCAAATTATATTCTCCTAACTTTAGTCTGTGATATTATATAAGATGAAAACTGTAAGCCTAAAACCCTGGCTGGGCAGATGGGGGAGAGGGAGGGAGTGGGGGGGGAGGTGAGGTGATATGTTTGACAGTTGGCGCTGAAGGTCTAATGTGTGTTTATTTATCAGTCCTTAAGAGTGACTAAGCTTTTCTCTTATAATTTGCCACTGAAATGACCTGGGAGAATATAATTTACATTGCTGGGATTCTTGTAAGATAGTGATTAATTTGAATATAAACAAGCTTTAATTTGCACTAGACAAAAATTTTAGTACCCTAATCATTTAGTAAATGTACAGTACAGGTTTGCACTTGGGTCATTTATTTCTTTTACGTTTCTTTTAGTATGGTGTGTGCATGTGAATGAATAAAAATAAATGAAGAAATTTATATAAATCTACCCAAAATACAGTTGAAAATTTTTTACATTATTAAAATGTACTAATGTATTGAAGTTTTTATCTCTTGTGCAAAATACAGTTGTACCCCACTTAACGCGGTCAATAGAACCCAGAGGGTCCCGTGTTAAGTGAAATCCGCGTTAAGTGAACAACAGAACATATGGGATTAATTCCAATAGAAACCAGCCCGACCCCCAAACTCCACTTTTTGAAGACACATAACTATGTTGTAGTAAAAATAACATCTTAATTTTATGATGGTACATGCACACAATTAATACTTAAGAGAAATAGAGAAATACAGTCGCCAAGTTAATGTCCATTCAAATAATGGACTCAACTCCCTCCCACTCTCACACTACACTGCCGGCTCTTCCCTCTCTGAGAAATTTTTGGGGGAAAACCACTAAATTTTAATAAATAATACCTCAAACTAAAGTTAGGATAATACAATTGACATTGCTGGATTCCTTGTAAGACCAGGAATATTTTGAATATAAATGTCATATATTTTGCACAAAAGATAACATAGTTACCCAGAGAAAAAATTTTATCTAAAATTTGTATGTCTAATGCAAAATATATGATGTTTATATTCAAAATGATCACCAAATTATAAGAATTCCAGCAATGTAAATTATATTCTGACCGGGTAATTTGTATGAATTTTATGAGCTAAAACAAATATCTTCAGTTAATAAAAAAAAAAATAATCTTCACGACACTATCTGTCAATCAAAGTACCCCACCTTGCCTCCCCCCCTCTTCCAACCATGCAGTCAGTCCCAACCCTCCCCCCCACCCCCCACCAATCCTCCCTTCAAGAGATGTGGGGTGAAAAAAATAAATTTTAACATTTTGTATTAAATAATACCTCAGATTAAAGTTAGGATAATATAATTGACATTGCTGGATTCCTTGTAAGACCAGGAATATTTTGAATATAAATGTCATATATTTTGCACAAAAGATAACATATTTACTCAGAAAACATTTTATCTAAAATTTGTATGTCTAATGCAAAATATATGATGTTTATATTCAAAATGATCACCAAATTATAAGAATTCCAGCAATGTAAATTATATTCTGGCCGGGTAATTTGTATGAATTTTATGAGCTAAAACAGGCAGTCAGGCAGGGTGGCGGGTGGGGCAAATCTAAAAATAGCGTCTCGAGCCGGACACTCACCGCGTATATGTGGAAAAAATCCGTGTTAAGTGAAAGTTCAGCTCTGGCGAGGCACCGCGTATATGATAAAACGCATTAAGTGAAACCGCGTTAGGCGGGGTAATACTGTATATGATGTTTATATTCAAATTATTCACTGTCTTGCAAGGATTCCAGCAATGCAAATTATATTCTCCTAACTTTAGTCTGTGATATTATATAAGATAAAAACTTAAAGCCTAAATCCACCAAACCCTGGAGAGGGGAAGGGGAGGTGACAGTAACATGTTTGACAGTTGGCGCCAAAGATCTAGTGAAGTATTTATTTGTTTATTTATGTCCTTCAGCTTTAGTTTTTGTTTTTTGCTTATAAAATGTCACAGAAGTGACCGGGGAGAATATAATTTTCATTGCTGGAATTCTTATACGATTGTGATTAATTTGAATATAAACATCATATATTTTGCACAAGAGATAAAATTTTTAGTACATAGTACATATTAATAAAAATGCATTCAACTGTATTTTGGGTAGATTTACATAAATTTCTGGGTCTCTTTTTCTTCTCAGCACCGTAAAAACTCTCACTTTTACGCTTGCCAGCCGTTTTAGAGAGAATTACAAACAAAAATTTTGTCAGTACACAGCTCGATCACTAACGTTGGGACTCGAAAATACGTTCCAGAAAATCTTTCGTTAACGGAAAATTTTGTTAACCGAATCTATTGTTTCAATGGGATATTGGATAATTGGTTCCAGCTCACAGAAAAATACATACAAAGTAAAATAAAATGAGGTAAAGTACACTTACTCTGAGGTGTGTAGGTAGAAGGTTCCTGGTTGATGATGATGATGATGGGAATTAGAAGTGGGGGTGGAGGAGAAGGGAGAAAAGAAGGAAGTGGGGAAGGAGGAGAAAGCACCTTTCTGGGGACCTATGCTTGATGCCGTCATTTCACCAATAAAATTTTAAGATCACTAGGTGTAATTCAAGATTATTTTCTTTAAATCAACACTGCACTACACTATATATTATCAATATGTTAACTAAGGTTCAGAATGACCAATAATTTCGATGAAATATGCAAAAATATTCAAGACACCAACAAAATGGCTGCTCTCTCTCATTAAACAAGCCAGACTGAGAGGGTACAGGGATAATTCATATAATGTCCAGATAATACATGTATTGCCAATATGTTAAATAAATGTTAAAATAACTAATTATTTTAATATAAAACATTAAAAAATATTAAAAAAGCTCAACTTAAATGATATTTACTCAATTGGAAACGAATTTAAACATAGAACAGATTACTGAATTGGCAGATTGGGCCATCAGCTGACCAGCTATTGCTCACAACAAAACGTGATTTTCGTAAGGATTTTGTTAATCAAATTTTTGTTCGTTAACCGAATTGAAGATCCTTATGGGAGGTAATTCGTTAACCGAAATTTCGTTACCCGAGGCATTCGTTAACCGAGAGACCACTGTATAGATATATATATGTATATATATATACTATATATAAATTTTTTCTTTGTCTCAATTATACACGTGCAAGTATGAAAACCATGATACTGTATATGTGGCCATCCCTCTCCTCATGTTCGTTCACAAAACTTTTCGGGCTTCCGCCCTGGGTTATCTAATTACTCTCAGCATGCAGGCCAGAGTTAAGTTTTTCTCTTCATAACTCTATTTTATTCATGTCCTCAGTAGCGGGTTCAGCCTTTCCAGGCGAACTTTAGCGAGGCTGCTAGTCTTAGTGTTCCTTCCGGACGCTAATCTTCCGGTCTTACTAGCAATCTAGAGTTATCTTGAGATGGACTTTGTATCCTTAGTATGGGTTATATGAGAACCATTTAGGGTGGAATTCTCAACCCAATACATATTGCTAAAGTAATGGTGAACAATGTTAGCCAGTTGAGTGCTATGGTAGCAGCTCAGCACTGTCAACCCTTCTGGGTGACTTGATGCTCACTCAGGCATCATCGCTCAAGCATGATTAGTTGAAGCGGTGATGTCTGTGCACCCTGATTGGCAACAAATAGAGAACTTGGTGATTCCTCAAAATATTAATGCTCTAAAATGAAGTTAGCTTGATTAAGAAACAAAGTTCATTGAGCTGAGGGATAATTGAGATAAGAGAAGGGCGAGGTGTATGATATAGTGAGTTAGTTGTTTATGATTGTCACACTGGTGACTTATATAACAATAAGAGATATTAATGAAATAACTTACTAAAGTATCACAGTTAGGAGTCATATTGATTATGTTTGGGAGAAAATGTTGTCTCCCTTGTATTATTATGATGATACAGTGTGGCTCATAGTGTTCCTCCTAGTTTAGATGAATGATGTGCAACTGGAAGATGAAGGACACTTGTCTGGACTGCTAGAGGATGGAGACCACAGAACTGTCCCTGGGGATCTAGTGTTGAGTGAGGAGATACAATGACTGGAAAGTTCAGCTCATACACTACATACAAGGAAATGTCCGTCAGTAGAGGATGTGAATTCAGTACAGGTGGCCTATCAAAAATCCGGCAACCTCGGGACCTGAGGAGTGCTGGATTTTCGAAAATGCCGGAAAACTGATGGTTATATTTGCTGTACAGTTTTACCCC